CCCGGGAGTTTGACATCAGCCTGGGCAATGTATTGAAGCTCTGTCTCTTAAAAAAAAAAAAAAAATTAGCCAGGTGTGGTGATGTGTACCTGTAGTCCCAGCTTCTTGGGAGGCTGTGGTGGAAAGATTGCTTGTACCCAGGAGGTTGAGACTATGGTAAGCTGTATTTGCACCTCTGTACTCCAGCCTGGGCAATGGAGTAAAGACTGTGTCTCTTTAAAGAAAAAGTTGATGACAGAAATACGCAAGGAAGGGTGCACCTCTCCTTCTGGATAATGTATTTCATTCCAGATATCAAAACTATCTCCAGCTGGATTACATACATATTAGAAGAAAGTTGAATGTAAATGTGGTAGTGACATTTTGGGCTTTTAATGTCTTAGTTTCCTTAGTAGCAAAAAGAGTTTTTAAAAATCCATGTTGAAAAAGAGGGAAAAAGTTAGGACTTGTTACTAATCTCGTGGCTGAATAATTAAGTGTGCCTAATTCTGAAAGTAGCAAGCTAAATTATGCAGTGCCAAAAGTGACAACTCTTATACCTACACCAGCCCGTCTACAGCGGCATGATTTTAGCTTTATAGCTAAAAAACGCTGCCAGAAAACCTAATAAAAGGAAGCAAAAATATTTCTGTTTATATCAAGCTGCCATTTGAGAAAGATTTTAAAATATGTTCTTTCCTATGTGTAAATCTGACAGCAGATGCATAATTAAAACCCCAGTGGAGAGTTTCCATTTAATCTTTTCAAAGTTAACTGATAAACATCCTTTAGGATGTGAGGTGATGGGTTAATTCTCTTTGGATTGTTTGGAATATCTTTGAGCTGGAATACTGTCTTCAAGAACATTGTTTCGTGCTAAAAGAACACAAGATGGTATCTTCAGGAGTTCATACAATCACAGGAGGTGCGGACAACATGCCAGAGGTCACACATGCATCTGTGATGAGTGATGTTTGTCTTAGATGTTTATTAATTGGGGGAATGAATAAATGAATACATTCACATTAAAGCAAACTTGATTTCAACCCCTAGGGAATATGTCACATAGCATAAATGGGAGAAATAATAATTACCCAGGATTTCAGTTCTGTGTAAGCAATCAGTATGAATAATGTAGACTACAAAGTGGATTTTTATTTAGCTTGAGGTATTCAGATTGACTTTCTACACAGCCTGAACGGCTGCTGAATAATCACAGGCAAAATTTTCCACTGGTACTGCACTGTGTAGACACACGTGTATCTACACGATTGCAAACTGCCCAGCTGTGGATATGGGGCCCTGTTCAAACCAAATGTCAGGACAAACATTCTACTTCATCGTGCTGTTCCATGTAACCTTGAGTACACACAGCCATACCTAAACTTGTCATTACGTCTTCCACCAGGTGAAAGCCCATTCCTGTTCCTTCTTCCCCTCCTCTATACACATGTGCTCTCAAGAGTGTGTATGTGCACGTGCCCGTGCACGTGCCCACACACATACACACACTGGTGCAAAAAAGGGCAGAAAGAAAGTGACTTCTGTCCTTAGACCACAGTTTGCCAGAAGCTCTCATACTTGCTAGTGCCCCATCTCTGCCCTTTAGGCTGGCTCTTGCCTGTCTAGCTATCTAAGACTTGCCAGATGCTTCTAACTTGTCTGGTCTGTAACATCTGTCTTATCCTTCAAGTTTTCTCTGGACTTAATCAGTTGATGACGTGACCAATAGACCAGCAGACCAGTCCCTGCCCTGGACACACACACACACACACTCTTACACTCAGATAGACAGATAGACATTATTAAATACTTCAATCTCAAACAAGAACGTTCCCACCAATTATATGCATAAAATTGGTGGATATTGCACAACTTGGTTTCTGGACCTAGCTGAACCCCTCATTAACTGTGTGACCACTGACAAGTCCCCTAACCCTGTGCCACATGAGATTGGACCAAAGGTCCCCTTCTTGTTCTAATCATCTTCAGTGAGGATGGCCAAGATATGTTGCTCATAAATGCTGCGATCCAGCTGCCCATGTTGGGATATGCCTTAATCTCTGCCATGTAGCATAAGCTTTAACCTTTCAAAATACAGCCTGATACACACAATCATGTTATGGAATGAATGGAAGGAAAGATTTCCTATACTAAAGTCTAGATGAACCATATATCTGGGTCTACACAACACACACACACACACACATACATATGTCCTTTTGATTAGGCAGTATAAATAACTAAACCAAATCATTTTGTTCCCCTGAATTCCACAGCCCTGTATGAACCATATACACTGTGAAACTCATCAAATAAAACGGAGTACATGCTAATTGTCCTCTTCACTGGATAAAGAAGCAGATAAAGAATTCTGACTGCCCATTTTTTGTGGACTGAGCTTTGGCTCCCTGATCTGTTGAACCCATAAAAGCATCAATAATAATAATGATGGTCTCTGAAGATTCAGGCCATTTAAGAGAACGGAACTATGTAAGCAGAAGAGAAACTGACCTGTGGAGATCTTTACTTAAACCTCATCCAAATGCATTTTGCAAAGAGAAAGCTGAAATGCCAATACGCTACTTGGGAATTCGGCGGAACTTATCTGACTGATGGAAGTGACCAATTTGAACCACTGACCCCAGAATATCCCAGCAGCGGCAATAACCAGCACTGTGTGGCTGTCTTGGCATCCCCACAGAGGGCTGTTTCAACCCAGGGCTGTACACCGGCTGGTTTGAATGTTTCCCCGCAGATTTTGGAAGCAACGTGCTGGGTCACTCGTAACATAATCACATGCTTCAGTGTAGCCCTCCTACATTGCTTGCCTACATCTGAAAACACAAATCAAGAAAGAGAATATAGTTCCTTTCCACTTGACTAAGGAACAGCCAATCCTGCCAGTAGACTAAAGGCTGGGGCATGGAACAATTTCCCAACACACTGACTTGATTTTGTGTAAATTACTGAAAGAGAAGCTTTAGAAGCTGTGGCTGGGCTCAGAATCAGTGCCTCCAAAGGGGTACCGAACGACAGATTGAGGGAGCCCATTAGAGAGGCACAGAGACCACAGGCCATTGGAATGGGGCTTTATTTGGATGGACTCATGGCCTAAAAAGGAAAGGGACACTGCCAACAGCTTTCCCTTTAGCCTGTGGGTTCCATTAGGAAGCCAGAACATGTCACTGGGAAAAAGTGTTGTGGCCACCCAATATGTGCACAGGTGCCTCCAGGTGGAAGAAAGGGAAAGGGTGTGTTTACAAGAAGAGCACAAGTCAACAATGAGCTATGGATGCATGATGTCATCCTCCAGGACTAAGCATCCTTAGTACTTTTAAAGCATTTAAGAAAAAAAAAAAAAACTCTAGTTGCTATAGCAACTTGATGCAGCTCTTAAAAGGGGATTTTTGAGGGGGTCATTTTATATCTTCTATCACCATAACAACATGATATAGCTTTTTAAAGGATATTTTTATCCAATTTGTGTGTGCCTTGGACGGGGGCCATATTTGCCTTTTCTATTTAAAATAATCAGATCAAGCATGACACATGAAAAATCATTGAAGGCAAGGAAGTGCTTTCATAGACTATACATATACACTTAGAGAGACATCTCTAGCTGCTCATATGCTGCACATGGAGGCAGCCTCTCTCCCTGCCTCCAACCAGCCATCTGCTATGGCTTATCCTGGTCAGTTACAGTCCATGCCTCTGTATCTGAACTGGCATACCAAACCACTCCAGAACGTGTGTCTATGAAATCCCTCACTTCTCAAGCCCAGCAAATCCAACCCCCTCCTCCAAAACTGCACAGGAGACAGTGCCCTGGGGTGACTAGAGGTGTGACCAGCCAAGTGCCTTCTTCCATCCTGGGATTCAAAGCAGGAGTTGGGGACACACAAAGCCTTGTCAAGGTGATACGCATGCATTTCTGCTGCACTCTATACAGGTGAGTGGGGGGGGGGCTTTGTTTCACATGACACCCAGGGAAAGTGAGGGATGGGAAAAGCGAGTGAAAGGAGAGGAAGAAAGAGGAATGAAGGGGTGGATGGAGAGCAGGGGTGGCTCCAGAATTTCTCCACAGGAGCTCAGAGGCAGCAGTCTGGCCCCACAGAAAGGGGCGGGGGCTTGAAGGACTCTTTACACAGCATTCTTCATAAGGTTGAGAAAACGTAAACTGTTTATATCCAAAAAAAAAGGGAGAAGACATGATGGAAAGAATGGGGGAACTATCACTGCTCCCAGCTACCCCTTGGTACCACTAATGGTTGGAAAAAGTGGCAAGGGAACAAAGAAACGGTCAAGAAATTGGAGAAGGGGCTGGGAGTTGGGGGAGAACACAAGGAAGGGAGGCAGAACAGCAGCTGAAGTCCTGGCCTCAGGCTAACGGGTTTTACTTTGGGGGGGCGGGTAAGGGGCGGTATAGATTGTAGGAGAAGCAGGTGGGAAGGAGATCTAGGGACAGTGATTCTGGGGCAAGTGGTCACCCTCTCCAGGGTAAAGGAGTTAGAGGCCACTGAGGGGGAAAACACAGGGTAAAAGAAGAAAGGGGGAAGACTATGAAAAGAAATAAAAGCGCTTAGGGTGGAGAGAGAAGGGGCTTTTGAGATCATCCTGGAGAGGAAACTGAGACCCGGGGGTTGTGGGTGGAAAATAGGAAAGAACCGGTAGCCCTTGGCACGTATTCTTAGAGGAGAAAACGGAGGCTCACAGAGGTCAGGTCACGGAGCCGGTCAGTGTTGGAGCGCAGGCGGCCCGGATTCTCCATTAGGCCACACTGCCAGGCAAACCACCGCGGGTGAGCACCAGAGGTGGGCTTTCCTCCGTCACTGAAAGCCGAGAGGGAGACAGAGAGAGAACGGGGTCCGGCGGAGAAGAGAGGGCGAGACAAAAGTAAGCAAAGGGACATTAGAAGGGAAGGGAGAGCCGAGGGACGCCGACCGAGCGGCCGAGCAGTGAAAAGGGCGGCAGGTGAAAGGCACAGAGAGGAAAGACGCGCGGGGGGGCGCGCCGCTCACCTATGGTTGACACCACGGTGCCCACGAAGTAGAAAGCGCCGGGGAAGTCCCAGCGCGGGCGCAGCGCGTCGGCGCGGACGCCGGCGGCCAGCGCGGCCTCGTAGTGCCGGAGGAAGGCGCGCAGCTCCGGCTCGGCCACGCCGTGCGCTGCGCTGAAGTTGCGCAGCGTGGCGCCCCAGCGCGCCCGCGCCTCCGCCTCGCCGGGGCTCTCCAGCGCGGAAAAGACTGTGGCACCCGCCACCAGGTAGAGGCCGATGAGCGCCGCCAGCAGCACGAAGCGGCCGGTGTCCTCGTTGAGGTGCGAGCGGCGGCAGCAGCAGCAGCAGCAGGAGGGGCGCGGCAGGCGGCGGCGGCTACGGCGGGGCGGGGGCCGGGGGCTGCGGGAGGACATGGTCCGGAGCTCAGCCCCGGGGCCGGGGCGGCGCTCGGGGCCCGGGCCGCGACATCCCCCCGGCGGGAGCAGGAGCGTGAGGATGGTGGCCAGGGGTCCGGGGCCGCCGTGGAGCCCCTCGCCGCCTTCCCAGAGCCCGGACGGAGGGGCGCCTCCGCCTCCTCCCCGGCACTCAGGCCACACGCGAGTCCCGTGGCCCAGCGGGTGCCCGGGCAGGGGCGCTCCTCTCCGCGCCCCGACGCCTCGCCGGCTCCCGCGGCTCCTTACCCGCCGCCCTCCGGCGCGGGGCTTCGCAGCTAGGCCCCTGCCGCCCGGTGGCCGGCGTCCGCGGGGCCCCGGGCCTCATACTCCTCTCCAGACAGGCCGCGGGCTGCGGGCGGGGTGGGCCGTGGAGCCCGCGCGCCTAGGACCGGGACTCGGCAGCAGGGCGGGGAGAGAGCCCCCGGGGGCGTCCCATGAGGCTTTCGGGCTCGGCGGCTCCTAGGTGCGGGCTCTGCTGGCAGTCCTGCTCCCGCCCCCGGGGCTGAGCTGGCGGCGTCGGCTTCGGAGCCTCGGAGCCGAGCCGAGTCCGGGAAAGCGCTCCTTTCTCAGCTCCAGCCGAAGAGCCGCCCGGCAGGGAGAGGCGGAGTCACTGGCGCCCGGGGCGGGGTGTTGGGGAGGGGTGAGTAGGGACAGGAGGGAGGGGGTGGAGAGTTGGGCTGCCACGACGCCTCCCGGTGGCTCCGGCGGCACTAATGCGGGGCACCGGAGCAGGTGTCCGACTGCGGTGCGAGCTACCACCTCGCCGGGGAACCTCGTCTTGCTCCTCTCTGCGCTTCGCCTCTGGAATCCCTCCCTTATCTCATGCCGCGGTGAAACTTTGCTCAACTTGGTGGTGCTCTGAGGTCTCCAGGGCTGGAGGCTGCGCGACGCGGATCGCCGACACTGGGTTCTCGGGCGTTAGTCCGAAGTTTAAGTTACCTTCGTTCACTCCTTTGCCCTGGATCGAACCGCAGCGCCAGGACGCAGCGGGTTCCATTAGGAAATGGGGAATCGGGGAGAGGCGGTCGCTGGGCTCCGGGCGACCCGGGAACGAGGGCTTTTGCTCCCCCTCCCGACCGAGCGGCGGCCGGCGTCAGCACCGCGGACAGCGCATCGGTGCCGCAGCCGCGGGCGGGCGCCGCTAGGGCTGCAGGGGTCCGAGGCGCGGGCAGGCTGCTCACCCCGCTGCGCTGTGCACCCCAAACCCTCCCTGTTTTCCTTTTTACCTCCTGCGTGTACTCCCCCACCCACCACCCGAGGCAGGTGCGGTCGCTGAAGCAGGCTGCTGACAGGGCGGGGACGCTGCGGAAGAGAGACGGGGGAGGAGTCAAGCGCGGGTGGGGGACCAAGGTGCCACCGGGAAAAAGAGCCCAGGCCCGGCGGACTGCTGGGCTCCTTTCGCCACCCCAGCTCACCGACCCCTCTAGCCCGGGGCGGGGAATAAGACCCTGGCTGCAGCAGAGAGCAGAGAAATAGAGGAGATGTAGGGGAAGCTCACTAGCAGCTCCCCTGAGGCCGGCGCGGGGAACGGTGTGCTATGGAACGCCCCGGGCAAATGGTTGCCCTCCTATGCCCCACCGCGGCAGAAAAAGACGACGGATGCCCCGCGCGGCTGCGGGTGCTTCTCTGCTGGACACAAGCCGGCTTTGCCGGTGCCACAAAAGTTCTGGCGAGGAACACCCTCAGTACAGGCGGAAAATCATCCTCTTCGGGCAGCCGGTTCCTTCCCTGTCCTCCCCCTTACTATGGACTGCGGGAAGCAAGACCCTGGTGATGATGTGATGGCAGCAAATAATAATAATAATGATGACTATACTTAGATATCCCAGGTGGGTGAGCGGTGGCAAAAAGTAGATCCCTGCCCCCTGCCCCCCCACCCATTTCCAGTTAGGGGCTAAGGTCAACCAAAAGTGGTGGCAGCAGCGTCAATTACGGGTCATAGTACTAACAGTGTTCCCTCCACTACTCACTGAGCATTTCACGCCTTTGAAACTGGGGCCGGTCGCAGAATGAGAAGTGGGCTGCAGACAGGAGAGCTGTGAAAGCTGAAAGACATCTGACTTGGGATGTTGATTGTCCCAAACCAGGGTGCTCTGGAGATTTGGTTCTTCCCAGATAATGCTGCCTCAGTATATAGATGGAGCCAAGTACACTTCCCTCTGTGTTAGGGACAGATGGGTAGAAACTCCACCACCACCATGTCAGAACCAGGCTTCCTGGCACTGGATGGCATGTGGCTAGTTTTGCAGGGCTCTCCTTAGAATGGGGCTAGGGTGTCTTTGTGTGAGAGGGAGAGTATTTTATCCACCAAGAAAGCTGAACCTCCCTTTTTTCTGGAGCACTGTAGAAGGTGTATACAAACACAAATTTTTGTTATTGCAGACTATTGTTATTATTGCCAAAACAGTAAACTCTTTCTCCAAGGCTTTGGCTCCCCTGGACTCTCCACAGATGCTGTCCTAGGCCCTGTTCCCCCAGTACCTCCACTCTTACAGCTTCAGCACACAGTGAGGACGGCCCTGTCATGGACCTTTGGGGCTGGATTCCACTTGGCTGGTCAGCTCTTGACAGAAGCCCTGAGAAGTGTCATTCTAGGAGTTGCCCTGGAGACTCCAGATGTAACTGAAGGGCATTGCCAGGCCTCTCAGAGGCTATCTTTGCTCAGACTCCCCAAGCAAACACAGGGTACTTCGCTGCAGTGTTCTCTGCTTCTGGGACCAGTTCCTTGCCCAGTTGGCAGAAGGCCTGTCTTGTCCTCCAACTTGCTATTCTAGCTTGATTAGCAGCAAATCTCTGGCATCAATCTCGGCTCCGAATGACCTAATCAATTTATGTAATAGGGAAATGATGAGTTCCCTGCACATACGCACGGGGTTTTTAGGGAACCAGCCCCGTGATGAATGCGGCTTTTGCCCACTAAATCAATATTTAAGCTACTGACTTCCAGCTGGCTATGCTCAGAGCCTTTACCTCAGTCCTGAATTGCTGCAATAGACTCCTAAGGAGGAGGGCTTGCTTCGTGTCTCCCCATTTAGGTACATCCTGCCTGCACCTGCCAGTCATTGCTGTAATCATGCCCATCTGATCTGATCATGTGATTGACGTATTTAAACCATAGTCTCCAATGGCTCCCCTAAAGCTATAAAAATGTAGGGTTTTTTTTTTTTTTTTTTTTTTTTTTTGAGGCGGAGTCTCCCTCTGTCGCCCAGGTTGGAGTGCAGTGGCTCGATCTCGGCTCACTGCAAGCTCCGCCTCCCGGGTTCACGTCATTCTCCTGCCTCAGCCTCCCGAGTAGCTGGGACTACAGGTGCCCGCCACCGCGCCCGGCTAATTTTTTATACTTTTAGTAGAGACGGGGTTTTTCACCGTGTTAGCCAGGATTGTCTCGATCTCCTGACCTTGTGATCCGCCCGCCTCGGCCTCCCAAAGTGCTGGGATTACAGGCGTGAGCCACAGCGCCCGGCCTAAAAATGTAGTTTTTAAACCCTTGAGGCTGCCATTAAAAGACCTTGATGAGGTGATTCCTAACAAATCATTGCAGCCTCATCTACTAACTTTTACTTATTCCCCAAGTACTCTATATCCAGCCCAATCACCAGGCCTTTACTTGTGCTGTGGCCCCTACTGCAGCACTATCTTCTCTCTTCTCCTCTCCAGCTCTTTAAAAAAAAAACCAGCTCAACTCAGGTTAGACATTTTTTCCAGAAAGTTTTCCCTTTGTAGGATATTTTGAGCCAATGATTTTGATGCCATCTTTTCAACTCTATGGTTATTGAATCTGCTATGCATGCAAAAATTTCAGATAAGACATGCAAACAAGTACAGCCTCTCTTTTTCTTTTCTCTCTGTGTCTTTCTGCCATATGTATATATATGTATATATACACACACACACACAAGCACAATATAGGACTGTTAGCCAAGAAAATTAGGTAAAGTCAAATGGAACCAATTGGCAACTCCACTCCTAGGTATATACCCAAGGAGATAAACAAAAATGTACCTTCACAAAAACTTGTACATGAATATTCATAGCAGCACCATTCATAATAGCCAAAAAGTAGAAAGTGGTGAACCTATAAGTCCATTATCTGATTAATAATAAATAAAATGTAGTATATTTATACAATGACATATTTGGCAATAAGAAGGAATGAAGTACTAATATATACTACAATGTGCATAAATCTTGAAAATATACTAAGTGAAAGAAACCAGTCACAAAGGACCACATATTGTACGATTCTATTTGTATAAAATGTCCAGAGTAGACAAATCTATAAAGACAAAACAACTTAGTGGTTGCTTAGGGGTGGGAGTTCAGGAGAATGGGAGTGTCTGCTAATGGGGATGGGGTTTCTTTTGGAAGTGATAAAAATGTTCTAAAGTTAATTGTGGTGATGATTGGACAGCTCTGTAAATACACTAAAAAGCATTAAATTGTACACTTTAAATGAATGAATTGTATGATATGTGAGTTACATCTCAGTAAAGCTGTTAAAAAACAAATACAATGGGCTGGGAGTGGTGGCTCACACCTGTAATCCCAGCACTTTGGGAGGCTGAGGCAGGTGGATCATGAGATCAGGAAAGCGAGACCATCCTGGCTAATACGGTGAAACCCTGTCTCTACTAAAAATACAAAAAAATTAGCTGGGTGTGGTGGCAGGCACCTGTAATTCCAGCTCCTTGGGAGGCTGAGGCAGAGGAATCGCTTGAACCCGGGAGTCAGAGGTTGTCGTGAGCTGAGATGGCGCCACTGCACCATTGTACTCTAGCTTGGGTGACAGAGCAAGACTCCATCTAAAAACAAACAAAAATATGAATTAAGATAATCTTTATCCAAAAAAATGGAAATAGAAATTTATCCCAAGGAAAATAATTTCTTTTAGAAGTGAGAAAATTTAAAACAGTTTAGTTGTGTTACAGAGAAAATTATGAAATTAAATTTGAACAAAGGAGTTTGCTCCAAAATACTTTCTCTTAAAAATTAATCTGTGGTGGTAAAATTTTGGTGACAAGTTTTGCATTTCAAGTAGTAGCAGATCCAAAATATTCTGGTTGCCTTCAAACCTCTTTGATCTTCTTGTTCTCAGAATTCCTGTAGTACTCATTGTCTGCATTACTTATTGACAATTAGCTGTCTAACGGATACTTTTTTTCTTTTTTAGTATGGAGAAGATGGTTATCTCTATCCCGCAAAGGGTCAGTTGAATTGCCTTCTTAGTAGTATAGATACAATAGCCCTCCTCCCCCCATTCTCCTGGAATTAAGTTTTTATAAAACCTTTTATGTTTTAAGTCATTTGACAAATGTTTCCTTACACCATGTTTCACAGAGCTGGTAGCTGGGAAGAAGTGAACCAGTTTTACCCAGGGCCTTCCAGAATGGAAGAGAAAGACATCTGATTTGTCTTCCGTGAATTTAAGGTCAAGGAGTCTTGTTGAGGAAAGCATGGGGAGAGTCTGGTCACAGCCCAGGAGCTGGAAGAAAGGCCCCTTGAAATAAAATTATTCTGGGGAAGCAGGAGTCTGACTGGAGGCTTAGACAAGGGTCTACGTGTTTTGGTGACACAGGATGTAACTGATACTGGATGCCCTGTAGTTCAATCTCCCTAAAACTGTGTGGGATTTGAAGACAAGTGTTGACTCTGGACTTGTGACC